TCACTTTATTTTTCTTATGTTAAAACATTACATAGTGGCCACAGCTAGAGGCTGAGTCCTCTGCATGTAGACTCTCTTGTGGGCCTTTACAATGAATTCTTTTTAAGATTTTATTTATTTATTTGGAGAAAGAGAGAGGCAGACAGGTGCCCACGACAGGGTTTCACCACACCGAGATCATCCTCCGTCCAGCTTTCCCGAAAGCTTAGGATCTTGGGCATGCCTGGTGTTTTCAGGCTGAACTGGGATCTGAACCCAAGGCCTCAGCAGTACCCTCTCACTTTGTCACTACAACCGGGCTGATGGTCAGTGAATTTTGGATGGAGGGACTTGGTGAACACAGCCTTTTCCTAGTGGTTGGGGATGAGAGAGTTACAGTTGTTGGAGATGCTATCAAAGATGGCGTTGGCACAGTTGACCAGGGCAACAGTGTAGCCTCTGGCCAGGCTGTACAGTTGATTTCAGCCTTCAGCATAGATTCTTGGGCACAAGGGTTCAATGCCAGTGCCTAGGGACTGGGATAAAAGGCCACCAGTGGCTGGTCACTTTGCAGGAGACTGTGTGGGACTCCCTGACCCTGTTTCCCCTGTTGCATCACTGCAGATGGACAGTGAGAACTTGGCCAGGATAATGGCTCTGCAGAAGGCAGTGGCCATTTCCTTGGAACACTTAACTCCTAGACCAGCATAACTCTACAGTCTGATGGTGGCAAACACCTTGACCCTTGTCAGTGTGAGTCTGCCTTGCATGAGCATAATCTTCATAACTTCAGCCTCAAGAACATTCCCAGGAAAAAAAGTGAGCCTTCTCGGACTCCAAGATGGGCAGGAAGAAGAGACAGACCACCTCCAGGGACTGTAATGGGAGTCCTTGACCAGGCTGTTCAGCTTGGTGGTGGGTAGCTACCCTGCCTCCTTGACTGGACCTCTGGACCAGCTGCCACTGCCAAAGCCTCTCATTCCAGGGCCTTTGGGGCCTTCAGGCCCGCCCACAGCGCTGGCAGATCCACCACTTGGTGTCTTTTTTTTGTTTTAGAAAGAGAAAGCTTAGTCTTTTTTTTTTTTTTTTTTTTTTGGGGGGGGTTTCCCCATATGCACATTGGAGAGGTTTTCACTATAGGGCACGTGCACTCGCCAGACAGACAGACAGAGGCAGAGAGGGAGAAATCACCCCCCAGGGGGGATGGTCATGCCGCAATCCCTTCTCCTCCATTCTCCTCTTGGGATCTTGGGCACGCACGCACACGTGCCCAGCGTGAGTTTTAAGCCACCGGGTCCGGGATGCAAACCGTGGTCGACTACGCAGTCCAGCAACATAGCCATTACGCTAACTGCTGGTCCCAGAAAGCTTAGTCTTAATTGCTTTACTTTTTGTGTGCTTGGCACTTAGAACCCGCTCACATTCCATGGATTTTATTTAATTGTTCTCTACTCCAATAGAATATAAACTCTATTAAGGCAAAAGTATCTGTTTTGTATACTGCTTTATGTTTAGTGCCTAGGATAGTGTCTGGCATGTATATAGTGTTTGCTAAATACTTGTAAATTGAATACATGATATTTTGTTGTTACTTTAAAGGTTAGACCTGTGTACTTTGAGCTAAAAGGAGCACTTCATAGGCCTGAGAGTCTCTTAAAATTGAAAAGTCCAATCAGGTCTTTCACTTACCTAAATGAAAAATCATTTCATTTTACCTTTATACAGAAATAAGCTATGGGTGGGACAGTAGGTTGCTGGCTTCCCATGGAGTAGATCACAGTTGGAGTCCCAGATCTGGCAGCTTAAAACTCATGCTGGGTGTGTGCATGCATGCCCACAATCCCGAGAGAATGGACGAGAAGGGATGGCCACTACCCTGGGGGGTGATTTCTCTTTTTGTCTCTGTCTCTCTGGTGAGTGCACGTGCTTTATAGCAAAAAGTCTCTAAAAGAAAAAAAAAATAAGCTATGGGCATAGTAGGGGTTTATGTTGTGAAGCAACTGGGAGTACTAAAACACAGAAAAATATTAACTTGTAAAGAACTTTTAGTGGAGCATTGAAAACATGGAATTAAATGTTGAGTCTCATAATGACATTATTGTATCTTTGCGTGTTTATATGGAAAATATCTCTCCTTATTGGTAGATACTCTTCCTCATTGTTTGTAAATGAAAAAAGTAAGGTCTGAAACCAGCAGTTAGTGTAATGGCTATGTCACTGGACTCTCATGTAGTCAACCGTGATTTGAGTCCTGGTTCTGGTGGCTTAAACTCACACCAGGCGCGTGTGCGTGGATGCCCAAGATCTCAAGGGAGAAGGGATTGCGGCATGGCCATCCCCCCTGGGGAGTGATTTCTCACTTTCTGTCTCTGTCTCTCTCTCTTTCTGCAAGCACACACACCCTATAGCAAAAACCTCTCAAAAAAAAAAAAAAAAGAAAAAAAGTCAGGTCTAAGAAAGTTAAGTAACTTCTGAGTTACCAAGTTGGAAGGGATAGAACCTGAGGATAAAACCCATGTTCTGTCTGTTCTTGTGTAAGGCCTAGCACGTAGTAGTCAGTAATTATTTGAATTGATGTATAATATAAATGTGTAGATGGCAGGTGCATGAACATGTTAAGTGCATCTAAAATGTGACAGAGGAAGATGAGCCAACCACATACAGGCATGGGAACAGCTCAAGCAGAGGCTCTCCCGTGGAAACAAGCTCGCTCTCTGACCAGCATACGTGTCCTCTAGCAATCAAGCAAGCAAGCAAGCGATCCACTTAGAAAGCAGACATCACCAGAAAGGATGTATGGACAGCAAATAAACCCTTGTAAAAATGTTCATCATCTTAGGGACCAGCAGTTAGTGTAATGGCTATGTCGCTGGACTCCCATGTAGTCGACCGCGGTTCACGTAAGTTCATCATTTTAGACATAGGAAAATACAAATTAAAACAATAAAGTATCGCTATATACCATATTAGAACAACTAAAAAACGTAGTGACATCATCAAATACTGGTGAGGTTGTGAAAAAACTGAATCTCTTACAGAAAAGTAAAAGACGGTCACGCTGGAAAATTTTGTCAGTTTCTTGCGGAGTTAAACGTGTATCTACTATATAACTCAGAGATAACATTCCTGGGCATTTATCCAGAGAAATAAAAACTCATGTCTACACATAAACCTGTACATAAATGTTCATTAATTTTTTTTTTTTTAAGAGAGAGAGAGAGATTTTTGCTCTGGGGCATGTGTGCTCATTGGAGAGACGAGACAGAAAGTGAGAAATCACCACCCGAGAGGCATGGCCATGCTGCAGTCCCTCCTCCTCGATTCTCCTGTCAGGATTTTGGGGACACATTGCATGCACACCCAGCATGAGTTTCAAGTCGCCAGGTCTAGGGCTCGAACCACAGTGGGCCACATTGGGAGTCCAGCGCCTTAACCACTATGCCACTTGCTAGCTTCTGTTCATAAAACTTTAATAGCCCACAACTGGAAATAATACAAATGTCCTTCCATTGGCGAATGATTAAACCAATTGTAGTGCAGCCATACCACAGAATAGGACTCAGCAGTAAAACGGGACAGACTGATGTTACGTGCAGCAATTTCAGTAGGCTCTCAAGTGCATGATAAATACGATAAAGGCTGATTTCAAAATGTAGTGTGCTACATAATTCCATTTATGTAACATCGAGAAATGACAGAGGTATAGACACAGAAAACATCACTGGTCAGAGTTTGGGGACTATGGGGGATAGGTAGGATAGTGCAGTAGTTCTGTATGTTGTTTGTTGTGACTACACAAATCTGTACATGTGACACACAAATGAGTGCATTGTAAAAAAAGGTAAAGCCGACTCAGGCCTGTGGATCATGCCTGCGCCCCTTTCCTGGTTTACTCTTGTACTACAGTTAGGTAAGGTGTTACCTGTGGGGAAAGCTGTACCCAGGACCTCCCTGGTTTTGTAACTTGTAAGAATATAATTATTTCAAAGTAAGAGTAAGAAAATCTTAGCTAGGGAGAGGAATAGACGAATATGAAGTGTTGGTTTGAGAGATGGGGGCTGAATGAAGTTTTTGTGGTTTTGCTTTTAAATAAACGACAGGAATGCTAAAACATGCCTGTGTACTAATGAAAGAGGCCATGCAAGAGGGAGTAGATGAGAGGGCATAGTTAATGAGAGCAAAATACATCTTAAACCTTTGGCTTGGAGATACTGAATAATAATGAAAAATACTGTTTACATATTCCTCTTATAATATACAAATGAGACTATCTGTACAGCTTTCTGTAAATGGTTGTACATGCGGCTGTAGTAGTGGTATAGTCCTTTAATGTTCTAAAAATTCCACATGCTTTTGTGTATAGTGAGAAAGCAAGCCACCAAGTCCAGAACTTGAACTGTGGTCAGCCACGTGGGAGTATCAAGTGTCTTAACCACCACGCCACCTGCTGGTCCCCATCACATGCTTCTGTGTTATGGAAATAAAATACTAAATAGAGTTCTAAGAGGTTTTTTTTATGGCGCTTCCTGGTATTTATTAAATAACTTCAGAAGTTTTGTGTGTTACTTTCTTTGTGTGTCTTCCCTTCCAGGTTTTCATCCAGTATGGGTAGGCCATTAATTTCCTTGAACTAAAATGTTAAAATACATATATTTAGTGTAATTATTTACTGTTTAAGAATTAAATGTGGGGGCTGGCAGACGGCATGGTGATTGGAATGCTGGACTCCCACATGGCCGGTCATGGTTTGAGTCCCAGACCTGGCAGCTTGCTTTCTCACTCCCTGCCCCGTGTCACTCTGCTTAAATTTAAATAAATGACAATGATGAATAAAATTATTCTTTTTTTAAAAAAGGAAAGAATTAAATGTGTGGTCATTCTGTTTTGCTCTGTGATTAATGCCCATCTCTTTTACCCAGCCATTCTCCTGTTTTGTTCTTTATCTGGAATGTAGTAATATCAGAATGCGTAATGCAAATTCTTGACTATTTATTTATTGATTGACTATTCATCTCTTTCAGGGACACAGCAGGCCAGGAGCGATTTCACACCATCACGACCTCCTACTACAGAGGCGCAATGGGTATCATGCTAGTATATGACATCACCAATGGTAAAAGTTTTGAAAACATCAGCAAATGGCTTAGAAACATAGACGAGGTAAGACCTAAAACTGGCACAAACCCTTCATGAACACATGTGTGCACTTGGTTAGGAAGAATAAATGATCTTTTGGCCAATAATACGCTATTGTTATTGAAGTCATTGTTATTGAGATAGTTCTTTTTAAAGGTTGCTGTTAATTCTTTGTCTACCTTTTCCTAAGCTTTTGGGCATTCTACCGAGAACCCCATTCAAGACAATTATTAAAGTACCTAAAAACTATCAGCCATCTACTAAGATGGCCTCAAGTAGAACCTCTCCAAATGAATTCTTTAAGTTACGGAAGTGTGATATTGCCTCTAGACGTTGTGCATTATGGAGTACTAATACAGTAAAAACCTAAGCAAGGCAATAGGGCTGCATCACTGCGTGTGAAGGTGTCAGTCTTAGTCAGGTATAGTCAGAGCATATTTGTTCCGTGCTGCACATAGGTGGCTGGCTGGCTTTAATCGTCATGGGGTGTGTATGCACTCACCGGAGAGAAAGCTCTCCCCTGACGGTGTGATATGATAACTCCTCAGTCCTTTTTCTTCATTAACACTGTTCGAGGCCAGCAGGTGGCATGGAGGCTAAGGCACTGGGTCCCACATGGCCAGCTTTGCTCTTTTTGTCCTAGATGCAATAGTTTAAGAATCATGCCAGGGGCATGTGTGTACATTCCCAAAATCCTGAGAGGAGAGTGGAGAAGGGATTGTGGCATGGCCATCCCATCCCTGGTGGGGTGATGTCTGTCTGTCTGTCTGTCTGTCTGTTTCTCTTTGTTGAGCACATGAGCCCTATAGCAAAAGAAAATAAAATTAAAAATAAAAACAACAAAAACTAGCTCTTTAACTTAAGTCCATGTTAGAGCCAAGATAATACCAGTGAAAGCAGCCCTAAGGACTCATTTTTATTTGTTCACTGCTATAATAACTCATTAAGGAGAAACATGACTCATTTTTATTTGTTCACTGCTATAATAAATCATTAAGAAGAAACATTATTTAATAATTAGTTTAAGATACACAGATCTGGGACCAGCAGGTGGCCTGGTGGTTAAGGTGCTGGACACTCCCATATGGCCGACCACGGTTCGAGTCCCAGACCTGGCGGCTTCCTTTCTCCCTTACCCTCCCTCTCTGTGTGTCTCTCTCTGGTCAAATTAAAGTAAATGAATGAATAAATAAAGTTAAATAAATAATAATTTTTAAAAAAGATACACAGATCTTGAGACCAGCAGAGGGCATAATGGTTGTCTCTGGACTCTCATATACTTGACCATGGTTCGAGTCCTGGATCCAGTGGCTTAAAACTCATGCCAGGGGTATGTGTGTGTGTGCCCAAAATCCCAAGAGGAGAATTGAGGAGAAGGGATTGTGGTGTGGTCATCCTCCCCCCGGAGGGGGGATTTTTCCATTTCTTTCTCTGTCTCTGCAGCAAGCACACATATGTTATAGCACAAATCTCTTTTAAAAAGAAAAAAAAAGATGGGGCTGGCAGGTGTCGTTGTGGTTAAGGATGCTGGACTGCCACATTGGCTGACTGTGGTTTGAGGCCTGGACCTGGTGGCTTGCTTTCTCACTTTTCCTTTCTTTCTCTCTCTGTCCCTCTCTGGTCAATTAAAAATAAATAAATAAATAAAGTTTAATAAAGTAATTCTTTTTTTGGAGAGGTTTTTGCTATAGGGTGTGTGATTTTCGCTATAGGGCGCATGCGCTCGCCAGACAGACAGAGAGAGACATAGAGACAGAAAGCGAGAAATCACCCCCCAGGGGGGATGGTCACGCCACAATCCCTTCTCCTCCATTCTCCTCTCGGGATCATGGGCACGCACACACACGCGCCCGGCGTGAGTTTTAAGCCACCGGGTCCGGGACGCGAACCGCGGTCAACTACGTGGGAGTCCAGCGACATAGCCATTACGCTAACTGCTGGTTCCCAAGTAATTCTTTAAAAAAAGACAGAGATCCTGAAACAGGAGAGGCCATTTTTATTTTCTTACCTTTTATAGTTCTGCCAAATATCTGTACAATTGGAAGTTTATCTAAAGACTTTCTTTGCAGTATTGTTCCAACAATAACCAACTTTCTGGTTCTAAGACATAAGCTGGTTACCTATAATTCAATCCTATTCTGTTAATAACATTAACTACCCAAGGTTAAGATCAGACTCATAGGTAAGGGCTCAATCTCAAAATATTGCCCTTGCCCTCACTTCAGATGCCATGTGTAAGTCCTGGGTCTCTAGGTTAGCCACACTGTGTCCGGGTTGTCTACAGTTTTGGAGGTCATTATAACCTCACTTCAAGTTTGATCATTTGCTAGAGTGACACAGAGAACTCAGGAAAGTACTATACCTTTTTATTTAAAATATATATATATTTATTTAATTTCATTTGTTATTATTTTTTAATTTGACCAGAGAGAGAGAGAGAGAAAGGGAAAGCGAGAAAGCAGGCCGCCAGGTCCAGAACTCGAAGCACAATCGGCCATGTCGGAATCTAGCTCCTTCACCCACCTGCCGGCCCTGGAAAGTACTATACTTAATGACTACAGTTGATTATAAAGGTATGGGGATGGGAGGTCCCAGAGCTTCTGTGTCTTCCCTGGATATACTACCCTCCTGACATCACAATGTATTCACCAACACAGAAGCTTCCCTAGCCTCACTATTTCAGGGTTTTAATTGAAATTTTGTTATGGAGGCCAAGGCACTGGATCCCACATGGCCAGCTTCATTAGGCAGGATTAATTAAGTCACTGGCCCACAGTGATCTTAATCTCTGGCCTCCTTACCCTCCTAGGAAGTCAGGAAATGGAACTGAAAGTTCCAGCCCTCTAATCGCTTGGATGATTCCCTTTGGAACTCAACTCTTATTCAGATGAAGCTTGATAGGGCCCTAACATAGGTCACCTCATGAGCATAAATAAACTCAGTTATAGTGGAAAGGGACTCATTATGAATAACAAAAGACATCTTTATCTATCACTCAGAAAATTAGGAGCTCAGTGCCAGGAACTGGGAACAAAGACCCAATTTATTTATTTATTTTTTATCATACCACTTGTCTTGGTAGATTAGATAGCTTAAGTTTCCTTACATAAACTAAGATACATAAAATGCAGCCATTAAAAAAGAAAATCCAGGGGACGGCAGGTGGCGTGTTGATTAAGGTCACTGGACTCCCACATGGCTGACTGCAGTTTGAGTCCCAGGCCTGGTGGCTTGCCTTTTCATTTTTTCTCTCTCACTCTGTTCCTCTCTGGTCAAACTGAAATAAATAAAGTTAATGTTTAAAAAGAAAGAAAGAAAATTCACTTTTTCTGACATACAAGAGGCTGTTTTGTCTGATTTTTCACTTTGTTGTAGAAAGTTAAACCTTAAACTAAAGGAGGCTGAACTGATCCTGCAACATTTAAAAAAGGATTATATATCATGATTAAGAAGAATTCACCCCAGGAATGCAAGGGTGATTCAGTATATGAAATCAGTCGATGTAATATACCCTGCTAATAAAGGACCAAAGCGAAATGATCGTCTCAGTAGGCACAGAGGAAATATTTGACAAAATCTAACTGCTGGGCCAGTTCCGTGGTGCAGTGGTAATGTACAACCTGAGGGAAGCCAGATCCCACATGGCAAGCACAGTTCAGATCCCTGACCCAGTGGGCCTGCAGCCCACCAAGCACATGCACATGCCCAAGATCTGACAGGCCACAGTATGGAGAACAGGGGATTGTGGCATGACTGGGCCCTGTAGAGGGTGCTTCTGTCTTACACGCCTATACACAGGCCTGCTTTCATAAGTAAAGAAAAACTCTGGGCCAGAACATGGTGTGGATGTTAAACCACTGGATTCTACATGGCCAACTGCACAGTGTAAGTCCTGGACCCAGTGACTTGAAAATCACACATGGCATGTGTGTGTATGTGTGTGCCCAGATCCCAGGAGAATAGAGAAGGGATTGCAGCATGGCCGTCTCCCCAGGGGATAACTTCTTAATCTCTCTCTTCTCTGGTGAGCACACATACCATAGCAAACTAAAAAAGAAAAAAAAATGCAAAAGGCCACCCTTTCCCCACTGACTAATGTTGGCACCCTTGTCAAAGATAATTTGACCCTAGGTGGGAGAGTTTATTTCTGGGCCTGCTAATCTGTCCTGTTAGTCTATCATGTCTGTCAGTGTTATACCAGTGCTGCACTGTTTTGGTTTTCAGTAATGTTGAATTAGGCAACGAATGTGAATCCTCCACTTCTGTACTTTTTTTGTTCAAGATTATTTTGGCTATTTGGAGTCCCTTTGGATTCCATATGAATCTTAGGGTAGATCTTTCTATGTATATCTGAAAAAAATGTCACTGGGATTTGGGTGGGGCGGCCATTTCTTTTTAGCTGACTTTTCTGCAGGGGATTCATTGTACCCTAGCCTTATAACTGTTTGAGACTTCAGGGGCTTTATAAGATTTTGAATGAAGGCTTCCATCGGATACTTCACATTATAAAGTCTGAAGTCATGATCCAGCTTAGGTTTAGATTATGCCTCGGGACTCCAGTTTCAGATCTTTTGTCTCTGTGTACTCATTTCATGAGATTTACAAAGCAGACAAGCCTCCTCTGGGGGGTGTGTAATATTTGGCCCAGACGGTATTAGATTTTTCAAAATTAGTGCAAAAGCAGATCTACACATCAAAAAGGTGTTCTCACATTAGCTGAAGAGCCGATTCAAAAGGTCTTAGAAATTGTGCTGATAGATCATTTGGAATTTTAAGTAGGCTTTTAGCATGGAGTGGTTTTGGGTGACTGCTTTAAAACTTTCTGCCTATGGAAATGATGTTTTAAGTTGAAAAAAAAATAAAGTCACTTTTATTTAAGCCATTCTTGTCATGTGTAAAACTAAAATTTTATTCCATTTTAGCATGCCAATGAAGATGTGGAAAGAATGTTACTAGGAAACAAGTGTGACATGGATGATAAGAGAGTTGTACCTAAAGGAAAAGGAGAACAGGTAAACGTCTGAAAGGAGCAGATACGCCGTCCTGTCTGTGAAGACGAGACTGCTTTTGATCGATACTACATTAGTGGTGATGGAGTGCGCTGAGCTGTCACATCATTTTTGTTTTCAACAACTTTTTAAAGAATTATTTAATTTGTAAATTATTTTTTTAATTCACCAGAGGAGGGGAGAGTGGGAAGGCAAACCACTAGGTATAGGATTTGAACTGTGGTTGGCCATGTGGGAGTCCAGTGCCTTCACCACCACTCCACCTGCTGGTCCTGTCACATTGTTTTTAAATGCTTATTGGAAACTATAGCTTATCATTTGAGTGGATTTTTTTCAGTATAGAGCCAACATTTATGAGATAATAAAACCCGAAATATTTTAAGTCTTACTGAAACTACAGAGACAGAAAAATATAAATCAGTGATTCTTGCTTTTTAACTGAAGACTAAAGAAGTGTATTAATTAAGTAATATGATTCTAACATTTGATGGCCAGAAACCTGGGGCAAGCAGAAATTGGACATTAATGAGGCACATTGAGGGCCAGCAAGTAGTATGGTGGTTAAGGTGCTGGATCCCACATGGCCAACTCTGCAGTTCAAGTGCTGGACCTGGAGGTCTAAAAAACATGCTGGGCATGTGTGCTTGCGTGCTCGAAATCCCAAGGGGAGAATGGAGGAGAAGGGATTGTAGCATGGCCATCCCCCCACCCCCAATCCGGCAAACACACGTGCCCTATTGAAAAAAAAAAATCTTAAAAAAATAAGTCACGGGACCAGCAGTTAGTGTAATAGCTATGTCGCTGGATTCTCATGTAGTCAACTGCAGTTCGAGTCCCGGACCCGGTGGCTTAAACTCATGCAGGTGTGTGTGTGTGCGCGTGTGCCCAAGATCCTGAGAGGAGAATGGAGGAGAAGGGATTGCGGCGTGACCATCCCCCGTGGGGGGTGATTTCTCGCTTTCTGTCTCCCTCTCTCCCTCTGTCTTTCTGGTGAGCACATGAGCCCTATAGCAAAAACCACTCCAAAAAAAAAAGGAAAAAAAAAGTCACATTGAGTTTGCCTAAAGTTTGCCACCAGAGTGAAAATATGTGATAGACTGTCTGAAATAAATTCTTGGGTAAGGAGAGGGTAGTTTTAATTACTTTTGTTTTCTGTAAGAACTCATTAACTCACTGAAATGATCTGTTTTATATATCCAGTTGAGGTTACTGCCTTCAGAGTAAGATTGTAATTCTTCCATGATGTCACAGTCATTGCTTGTCAACCCATATTTGATCATTTTATGATATTTTGATTCTCTCTTAGATCGCAAGGGAACATGGTATTAGATTTTTTGAGACTAGTGCAAAAGCAAATATAAACATCGAAAAGGCGTTCCTCACATTAGCCGAAGATATCCTTCGAAAGGTGAGTTCGTCTTTGCTTCTGCTGAGGTAACTCAGTGTCTCGACGGAGTATTTTGTCTCTTCTAAAGTATTAGCTTATGTATAGAATTCAGGCTTGGGTGACGTTGTCTGAAAAGATGGTTCTTGCTGATGTCTAACCCCACAAAGTGAAGTAAAGAACTGGGGGAGCAAAAAGCCTTGAGGAAATCAGAAGGACCAGTTTGTAAGTGGACCTGTTATGTCGTTTTTGTACAGTGTCCCTGTTCTTCCAGTCAGTTCTTGGGCAGGCAGATAAAGGGCACGTTCATGTTATAAACGGAGTAAATGGAGTACACACATCCCCCGATTCATTTAACCAGCATTTCAACCTGTGATGTAAAGCGAAGTGAACAGTGCTGAAACTGTGATCTTGGGGCATTTATTTACCGTGGATTGTTTCTGGGTTTAAGATTTGTCAATCACAATACTTACCAGTGTAAATAACATGTAGCAAAATTGGAACTCTGAGTTTTGTATTTCCCTTCAAGTGCCTAGATATGTAACACCACATACTCGGTTATGAGTTCTGAATTCAGCCAGCCTATTGTAATTTTAAATGCAAAGAAAACCCCAAACAGATAAAATGGCACAAATCTTAAAAGAGAAATAACTTTTGTATAGAAGAGAACTGCTCAGGTGACTTTATTTTTTTAAGAGGGATTTTTGCAATAGGGCATGGACTCTTGCTGGAGATAGAGACAAAAGGCAAGAAATCACTCTTCGGGGGAAATGGCCACAATGAATTCCTTCTCCTACATTCTCTCGGGATTTGAGGCGTGCACACACACGCACCCAGCATGAGTTTCAGGCTGGTGCATCCAGGACTCAAACTGCATTCGGCCATGTGGGAGTCCAATGACATAACCATTACACCATCTGTCCAGACCTTTTTGTTTTTATATTTGAAATATTACCTTTTTTTAAAAAAAAGTCAATCTATAGATAAAAAGTAGATATCTATAAAATGTAAGCTGTAATAGAAGCAATATGCTAAATAGAAATTAGTGAAGTTTCTGAGGATTGTAAGAAGCTGAACATGTGGGCCAGCAGTTAGCGTAATGGCTATGTCGCTGGACTCCCATGTAGTCGACTGCAGTTCACGTCCCGGACCCAGTGGCTTAAAACTCACGCCGGGCGCGTGCCCAAGATCCCGAGAGGAGAATGGAGGAGAAGGGATTGCGGCGTGACCGTCCCCCCTGGGGGGTGATTTCTCGCTTTCTGTCTCTCTGTTTCTCTCTGTCTGTCTGGCGAGCGCACGCGCCCTATAGTGAAAATCTCTCCAAAAAAAAAAAAAAGAAGAAGAAGAAGCTGAAGCAGGTGGCATGGTGGTTAAGGCACTGGATTCGGCCTGGGCAGCCATGACTGGAGTCCCAGAGTTAGCAGCTTACTTCCTCACTTTCTCTTTCTCTACTTCTTTCTCTCTCACGAGTGCATGTGCCTTATGTAAAAAAGAACAAATTAATAAAATTAAATAATTATTTTTAAGAAGAAATTGAGTTTAGTTATATTAAGCTCTGTGTAAATCCCTGAAACCATGGAACTTAATTTCTAGAGTGAAGCGTCAGGTGTGTGAGATAACTCGGCGTGAAATTGAAAGTGGAAAACACAGTCATCAGTTACTACTGTTTAAGAGGCCTGTGAAAGTGCCAGCAGCCCGCATATCAGGTTTCAGGAGTCGCTGCTGTTAGATGATGTTTTTTTGTTGTTTTTTCGTAAGTCAAATCAAAAGTGGAATTTGAGGGCCTGTTATGTTTAGGAAATAAGTATTTGGAAGGGTAGTTGCCGGACTCGTAAATAGTGACCCTTACCGACTCTTACTCTTATAGGGTTTTGTTTTGAAGTTCTATTTTTTTTTTCCCCTTCAGTTTTTACCAATACATGTGCTTGCCAGAGACAGACAGTGAGAGGAAAGTGAGGGATCCCCCCACCCCCCTTGGGAATGGCCATGCCTCAATCCCTTCTCCTCCATTGTCCTCCTGGGATTTGGGGCCTGCATGCACACAGGCCCAACGTGATTTTCAAGTTGCCAGGTCTGAGACTTGAACCGTGTTCGGCCATGTGGGAGTCTAGTGCCTTAATTGCTGTGCCACCAGCTGACCCCAACATGTTTCTTTTTTTAATTATAAAAACAATTTTAGAATGTTTAGAAATAATTATTTTGTGAGTAAAGATAAAAAGCCATTATGTATATAATTATTTGAGAAATTTGTATTTTCATTTTTTGAGGATTCTTTTTTTTCTTTGGAGAGGTTTTCACTATAGGGCGCGTGCGCTCACCAGACAGACAGAGACAGACAGAGAGACAGAAAGCGAGAAATCACCCCTCAGGGGGGATGGCCACACCTCCATCCCTTCTCCTCCATTCTCCTCTCAGGATCCTGGGCACGCGTGCACACGCGCCTGGCGTGAGTTTAAGCCACAGGGTTCGGGACTCGAACCACGGTCGACTACGTGGGAGTCCAGCGACATAGCCATTACGCTAACTGCTGGTCCCGAGGATTTTTTAAAAAAAAAAAAAAGAATAGAAAAATACTAGATTGACTACAAGAATTGAGTTTTTAATTAAATGAATTAAAAGAATAGAAATTTGCTTTTTTAAAATTGGTGTAAGGTACTCTGCATTTCAAAGATTGGTTGGTCAGGTTGAAAAATTATCCCAGTAGTCACAGTCCACACAAATACCAAATCTGACCAGCAGGAGTCATCCCGGAGCTTACTGAAACATCCTGTCTGAATTCTTTCTTTCTTGGCTTTTTGGTCTCCTCTATGGCATCTGCTTTCTCTGACTGTCCTGTGTCCTTCTCGGTCTTGGTGAGGTTTCCTTGCTTTTGTCTTTTTAGCAGTGCTGTGTAGTGAGTCATTATGTAATTTATATCCCAGTGAGGTAGACCTCTCTGTATCGTAGCACAGGTTAGAGTATGGCTACTTCAGGAAATAATAATATCAGACTGGAGTCTTCCCCATGTTCGCAAGTCCAAATATGAGGTGCATTATTTTTTTCACACACATGCACCCACTTCGATGTGGCAGAAATTTCAACTCAGTATTAGCTAAGTAGGCGTTTCTTGGGACATCTGAAATCTTAAAACGCAGTATTTTATTTTTACCCCTTTGGGCTACCCAAGACCTTAACTTTGTATTGTTTTTCCAAGAGCCTAAGTTTTCAAGTATATCCCAGATTTTCAAATTATATTCGAGATGACAGCCCAGCCATAGCAGGCTGGTAGATGCTGCTACTCTATGAGCTGAGGCTACGTAGGAGGCCCAGGTTTGATTCCCAGGCCACCCTAAGGGCCAGGCCTGTTTGCACATGCCTATAGTTTAGTTACTCAGGAGACGGACACAAGAGGATTATAACATGTTAAGACCCTATCTGTTTTTTTTTTTTTAAAAAAGAAAGAAAGAAAGAAAGAAAGAAAGAAAGAAAGAAAGAAAGAAAGAGGGCCAGCAAGTGACGTGGTGGTTAGGGTGCTGGACACTCCCACATGGCCAACCACAGTTTGAGTCCCGGACGTGGTGGCTTGCTTTCTCACTTTCCTTCTCTCTGTGTGTCTATCTTTCTCTGGTTAAATTAAAATAAATGAATAAACAAAATAAAATAAATCTTTAAAAAAAAAGAATGAAAGAAAGGAAGGAAGAGAAGAGAAAAGAAAATAAAAGAAAAGAGAAACACAGGGACCATGTTAAGGCACTGGACTCCATATGTCCAACTGCATTTGGGGTTCCAGATCTGGCGGCTTGCTTTCTCACTCTTTTGAGCATTTTATTTTAGTAAAGTTGAATATATAGTATATATATTTATGTAATATATATATATAATGGTGGTAAATAAAATTATTTTTAAAAGTTTTTGATGAAACTACTGTTACATACAACAGAATGGATACATCTCACAGTGATACCGAGTGAAAGTCAGATGCAAAAGAATGTATTATACTGTGGTCCTGCATATATAAAGGTCAGGAACAGAACAAAAACTAATTTATGGTGTGATAGAATATTGAGGGGCCGGCAGATGGCATGGTGGTTAATGGCACTGGACTCCCACATGGTCGACCATGGCTCGAGTTTTGGATCTGGCAGCTTGCTTTTTCACTTTCTCTCTCTCTCTCTCTCACACACAAAAACACACACACACTCTCTCACTTTGTCCCTCTCTGGTCAAATTAAAATAAATAAATACATAAATAAAATAAATAAAGTTCAATAAGATAATTTTTAAAAAGCTATCAGAATGTTGGTTAACTCTTGGTTACCTTTCAGAGGGTCGTACTGACAGAGGAGTATGAGGGAGTCTTCTGGGGTGGTATGCTCTATACCCTGACCTGGTGGCATCAGAACTCACACTGAAAATACATCAGGCTGTGTGTGTACTCAAGCTCTGTGTACTTCTGCGTGCATAAGTTACCAATAACATCGTTTCAGTAATAGCTGGCAAGTACAAGGTTATACAGAGAAGAAAAGAAAGTCAGCGATACACCGACCCCACAGGTTGCTACTGTGACTGTCTCAGTGGCTGCCATTGAGCTTTTTCTGTATCTGTCATCAACCTGAACTGTATAAACAGTGCGCTTGGGCTTTTTCACTTATCTTCATTGAGATTGCCTTTTACAGACTATGGTGCAGTAACACACACTTTAGTCTCCAAAGGTAAATAATCAGATTTTGTTTTACTTCCGTTAGACACTGCCCACCATTATGTTTATACAGCTTGCTTCGTAATGCCTCTAAGGTGGAGGCCAGGGCCAGGGGGTGACAAAATCTGCTCAGTCAGGGCGAGCAGCAGCCATTGACGCTCGCAAACTGGAGTTTGATCCTCGGATTGCTAAAGGTGTCCACTTTTCTAGGTGTCTGTTTATACCAGTATTGTCCTTTATTCAAGTTTAAAAAAGTATTAGTATCCATTTAAAACTTGTTATTTATTGCTGAGGGTATGTGCACCCAACAGAGAGAAAGCAAGCACCCCCTAGCAGAGCACAGTCCTGCCACAATGGTTTTTCCTCCAGTTCTTCCCTTCGAGAGTTTGAGCACCAGTGTGCTTGCACCCAGTGTAATGGGTTTTTGTTTGTTTGTTTGTTTATTTTTTTTAAAGAGATTTTTGCTATAGGGTGCATGTGCTCACAGGATATATAGAGAGAAAGAGAGAGAGAAAGCAAGAAACTCCCCCCTGGGGGGGATGGCCATACTGCAATCCCTTCACCATTCTCTTTTTGGGATTTTGGGCCTGTGTGCACGCGCACACAAACACACAGCCACCTGGCATGAGTTTCAAGCCTCTGGGTTCTGGGACTCGAACCACGGTCGACCACGTGTGTGTCCAGCACCCCAGGCGCTAGCCACCTGCTGGCCCCTCCAGTGTAATTTTCAAGCTGTCAGGGTCAGGATTTGAACTACAGTCAGTCACGTGGGATTTGGCTCCCTGTGTACAGTATTTGCTGCGTTACAGGGCTGACCCTTAAATAAGGTTTTATTAGATGAGGCCATTGGGGAAAAAAAAGATTAAGGCAGAGACGATTACTGAAACTTTTTAAGGAATGCCCAGAGGAATCTATAACACTTCATAGCTTGGCGGAAGGGCACAAAATGAAGACAAACGAAGCTTCCAAATTTTTCAGTTTATGTTGGGGGAAGCTATCATGTGATGGTAATGCATCTGGTTGCATGAACTGGCATTTATGAGAATGTTCCTGTCGGCTCCTGCTTTGTCCGTGACAATGCTTTCTTACGGTGCCTTTCCTGTGTGTGTTCCAGACCCCCGTAAAAGAGCCCAACAGTGAGAACGTAGACATCAGCAGTGGAGGCGGCGTGACGGGTTGGAAGAGCAAGTGCTGCTGAGCGCCCGCGCCCCAGCAGTGCGTCCGCCGCCCGTTTCTCTTCTTGCTGCAAAATAAACCACTCTGTCCATTTTTAACTCTAAACAGATATTTTTGTTCCTCATCCTAACTATCCAATTCATCTATTTTATTTGCTTTCATCTGTGACTGCTTGCGGACTTTAATTTTCTTCAAACAAAAAAATGTATAGAAAAATCATGTCTGTGACTTCATTTTTAAATGTACTTGCTCAGCTCACACTGCATTTCAGTTGTATTATAGTCCAGTTCTTATCAACATTAAAACCTATAGCAATCATTTCAGTTCTATTCTGCAAATTGTATAAGAATAAAAGTTAGAATTAACAATTTTATTTTGTACAACAGTGGAATTTTCTGTCATGGATAATGTGCTTGAGTCCCTATAATCTTATAGACATGTGATAGCAAAAGAAACAAACAAAGCCAGGAAAACACTCATTTTCGCCTTGACTATGTAAATGGGGTTAATTTTGTCCTGTGCCTTATGTGGAAAGGAACTTCTTTGGTTTTTTCCTTTTTTGTTTTGGTGGAAGCATGTGCAGGAGACATATCATCCAAACCTAAACCATTAAAATGTCTGTGGTGTGCTTGGCTGTAATTCGCAAAGTAGTTCATTGAGGACAAAGGGTAATGCAGAAATGATAGCTTTGGTTTGCCGAGTCGCATTTTAAGTGGCCTTGCTATTTCAGATATTCCTGCCACTGTTTCTTCTCCGTGGCCACTTGCCCCGTGTCTCACCTTCCTGCATGCTGCTTTATCTGCTCCTCCCCCCGGGCCCACCTCATGGGTATGAGTTCTTTAAAAGTGAAAGGGGCAAGCTCCTGGGTTTGTCCAGTTCAACATGCAGCACTGACTTACCTGCTAAGTAAACAGAGCAATTCTAACTGCCTACTATCGAATGTCAGTTCATTGGTGTCTCCCCCTCATTGGCTCTGTCCCCAAAACGCTGTCCCAGGTCTCTTCGTTCGCTGCTTTACTTCTGTATCCCTCTCCTTTTCCTCCGTCCCCTTCCTGTCTATCCACCAAGTTTATGAAACGGAAGAGTTCATTGCATGCTCTAGTGTTTGGAGGGTGTTGTGGTTTGTCTTTCTAATTAGGTGTATAGCCTCTTCACTTTCTAGAATAAATCTCTTAACCTGAATTTGAGTAGTCTCCATTTTGACAACTCCTAGCAGTTTGGTAGCCCAGTAAAGGATGTTTTTTTTAAAAAAAAAAAAAAAGTGTGGAAGGAAGGAGGAGTGACTTCATATGAACCTGTTTGCCAAACGTATTGCGATTTGGCCTCTGAAGAACACTTTTTCAGTGTTAAGTTGTCTTTACCTTAAGATGTAGAAATACCTTAGACTGTTATTGAGTCCTGTCTTCACATCCTTTTGGGAAACTTGCATTACCATGGATTTGGAAGAAGGACAACAGAAGGTTTTTCATGTAAAGGTTTCTCGCTATCTCTAACCCTGTCTCGTCTTCACTTGGGTTTTCCGGTTTGCCTCATCGCTTATCATTAGGCTAGGGTAGGTTACGTTTGGGTAAGCTACGTTTGCTGTGCTGCTGGCATCCTAAGATGATACCTTTGTTGAAAGAATTGTGAATAGCATGATTCATTTCTAGCAGAGGCTGAGTTCAGGACAGCAGCTCCCATTGAGAAGTCTTTCCGCTTCGTGAGTTGCATTTTAATGACCTCTTGGCTCACAAGCAAACAGTGTAGGGATGTGTGTCTGCTATGAAAATCCACACGTTTTTCAGATAGTGCTCTAAACACAATTTTATATGCCTCACTGGTGGCAGTGCTTAGGGTGTTCCCTCACTTGACTTTATCATTGTTTACTACTAGTGAAAAGCAGCATTGCCAAATCCCTAATTTTCCACTTAAAAAAATAATGACGAAGAAATGACGTTAAGCTTTTCAAAAAGTTTTAGGCTAAGCCTGCCATTGTTAGGTTAACCTTCATGTATCTGTTGCTTCCCTTTATCTGAAATGTGGCCGTAGTTTTTTTTTTTTTTTCCTTTTTTAACCCTCTTTAATCCTTATTCAGTTCATTGACTTAAGGTTTGAGAGCTAAACACTGGGATTTTGGGTAACAGACTGACAGTTTTGTTTGCATATTCTAATCGGCATTGTACATAGAAGGGATATGGCTACCTTTTGTTAAATCTGCACTTTCTAAATATCAAAAAAAAAGGGAAATGGAGTATAAATCAATTTTTGTATAATCTGTCTGAAACATGAGTTTTATTTGCTTCATATTAGGGCTCTGCCCCTTTTCTGTAAGTCTCTTGGGGTCCTATCCTGTGTAGAAGCTGTTCTCATTAAACACCCAACAGTTAAGTCCATCCTCTGGTACTAGCTACAAATTCGGTTTCATATTCTACTTAACAATTTAAATAAACTGAAATATTTCTAGATGGTCTACTTCTGTTCATATAAAAACAAACTTGATTTCCAACTGTGTGGTTTGGTTTTCATTTATGGAGTTGGAGTGGAGGGTTACTTCAGAAAACAATGCAAAATCACAAACTAAAAACAAAGCATGACAAAAATAGTAAAAAACCAAGTGTCTCCGTGTGTTTTACAACCGGGAAGGCAACTTCAGAAACTTCCTCCGTTAAGAACCTACAGAAATTCAATTACTGCGAGGGCACTAAAGCACTGTCATCCTAATGCCAGTGTGGGAGCTGCTACAACCTTGGGCATGGCCCTCAGCCCACTGCCCCCAACACTAGTTGCACATGCCAAAGGCCAGCTATGACTGAAGTCAGTGATGACCCAGGTAGGCCCTCCACACTGGAGGATGGACCTTTAACAGTGGCGGTCCTCTTAGCTGAAAAGTGTAAAGCAATTCCTACTTTTTTGTGAACGATAATAACAGCTTTGCCTTTCTGTATAGTATTGGCAGAAGAAATATCAAATCTTGTATTAAGACCTTACTGGTCAGGAATAATGAGAAGTATTTGTTGACAAGGTTACCTCTGCTAGAAGGATATGAAGTTTTCTTCTATTTTTTCTTTTTTTGAGAGAGATTTTTGTTGTAGCATGTGTGCGCTCATCATTCAGGACAGAGACGGCAAGAAATCACCCCGAGGGGGGTGGCCACGCTTCAATCCCTTCTCTTGGAATCTTGGACACATGTGCATGTGCCCAGTGTGAGTTTTAAGCCGCAGGGTCTGGGATTCGAACTGTGGTCCACGATGTGGGAGTCCAGCAGTATAACCATTATGCCACTTGCTGGTCCTATGAAGGTTTTTTCACACACAGCATTTATAGGCATCACTTGGAGTGTTTCTGTGCTGTCCTACACACACACTTGTCTTGTGTTTCTGGGATGAGGCTTACAGTTCTGCCTTAGAGGTTGGCTACAGGAAGACAGGATATGGTCTCTGCCCTTACGTTTATGATCTAGTTTAGAAAGCAAAAGTAATACTGTGCTGGGCCTACAGAGAAGCCAAACAGTTGCGATCCAGACTCGGTGCTGCACTGGAAGAGCAAGCTCAGCTGGTGCGAGTATCTGGAGTAGGCCTTGCAGGAGGGCCATGAATAGGTTCTGAGATCGCCTTCGTCTGTGATGGTGTTGTTACAGAAATACCTGCGACGAGGTGACTTAGGAAGAAAAAGTGGGTTTGACTCGGGATTCTGGCAGTTGGGAAGTTCAAAGGTGTGGGCTGACACCATGACCTGGCTGACAGCAGCAGAAGGGGGTGGCCAGGCACACAGGCAGCTAGCTATCCTGCGTGACAAGCCACTCTGGTAAGAACGAACCCCTTCTCACAAGATCTGGAAGTCGGTCTCCTGAGAGGACATGAATTCATTTGTGAGAGTAGTCCGTGACCCAGTCACCACCCACGGGGCCTCAGGAAGGTCTCCCCACCTCCTGGTTCCCTGACGTGGCAGGAGATGCAGGGTAAAGGTTGCGAAGGGGAGGTATTGGTTAGCCTGAGGTGCCTGTGGCACTGTTGTGGGTGCTCTGGGTAATGTCTCCAACATCCGGATGAAGGAGGACCTACTTATTTTGCAAACTAAGGGGTAGTCTCAATTTAAGACTGCACAGCCAGTTGGTGCTGGAGTTAGGATTCTCGACCCAGTCCTGACACTAGTGTCTTCGACCTTCCCTTGGTAGCACAGTTTCAGGGTAAGGTCCTAAGGTTTGGTTATACTGTTTGTGAAGGGGGTGATAGAACGCCAGGGTATAGTCTTAGGGAGCTGGCGTTGCCTAACCTGGGCTAAGGCCACTGACTACTGTTTTTGCTTTGACTTTATTATCCCTTATCACCTTATTTTTTTGTTTGTTTTTTAGGGTTTTGCCATAGGGTGGGTATACTCGCTGGAGAGGAGAGAGAGACAGAAAACATGAGAGATCACCCCCCAAGAAGAATGGCCATCGCTTATCCTTTGTCCTCTCGGAATTTGGGGCAAATAAACACAACCAGTGTGATTTTTTTTTTAAAGAATTAGTTTACTTTATTAATTTATTATTATCATTTTTAATTTGACCAGAGAGGGACAGAATGAAAGAGCAAGAGAGATGGGGCCGGTAGGTGGCCTGGTGATTAGGAGCATTAGACTCCCACGTGGCCGACTGCAGTTCAAGTCCCA